CGGTTTCCGGATTCAACAGTTTGGCTCTCAGATGAACATATTTTTAGCTGGATGGTTTTTGGTTGGAAGATCGCAAATGAGCAATTGGTGATCTACGTTACCACAAGACAGCGGATTGCAAAGGAGCAAAGTGGAGGTTTCCATGCACCAGCCAGTTTGGTCCGGGGGGGGGTACTTGCCTTAGGGTTAAGTTTGCCGAACAAACAGCCGTCACTCCCATGTTTGGCGGGAGGCTACGTTGTGGTCGTGGTCCAAAGCAAATGACTTGATGGGTTTAGGGATGATGCTTGGCAACTCAGTGCGTCCAGTTGCCATTGCAAGGAAGAGGCAACCAGGGGAGCAACATCCTTGCCATACAAAGTACTGAGTTGAGAAGAGGTTGGGCTTGTTTGGTCACTTCCACTCAGGACATGAGAAAGCCATTTGTGGCTGGTGGATCTGCTTGGGACGTGCTTTATGGGACCCCGGATTCAAGGCTATGAAACGGAGACGGAAAGTCGGCAAGCCGACTAGCGGAGCCTCGTGGAAGCACCCGAATCGGTCTGTCTACAACTGTGTCACCCTTTTCAAATCGAGTTTTGAAGGCTAGCCAAAAGAAAACCAGCCACTTGGATGCCCCCAACTTTGAGCAAAGTATCAAATTGGGAGAAAGCCAAAGGAGTCCGGAGTACGTAGGAGACGATCGCCAACATGTCGCAGAAGCTGCGTCGCCAGTTCCTGGAGTACTTGGATGGGAGGTGGAAAACAGGGGATGGGCAGATGGAGATGGCTGTGGGTCAAAACTAAACCACCAGACTGCAGATTTTAGTTCATATGTCCATTTACCAGGTTGAATTTTGGGTACCCATTTTTGACCCGCAGCCGGTTTTGAGGTGGTTTCTATTTTGGCCGCTCGGTTTGGTGGTTGCTGGTTTGGTGTGCTGCCTGGTTTGGCTGGCTTGGTTTGGTCTTCAGCTCAGCTTCTCCAGTTGGCTGGCGTGTCGGCAGATCTTCTTTCCGTTGTGTGGAAAGAAGGGGACGCGATTCAGATTGGAAGTGCAACGTTGGACAAATCAGGACACCCAAACGAGAACTGTAGCTTGAACAACAGCAAGTGCCGACGGCCCACCCTCAATTCTAAGGCTGGAAGTACATACCCCTTGTACATACCCCTTCTCCATACCCCTTGGCTTCCGTGGTTCCAACCCACTTTATAAGGGGTATATACCCCTTTTGGGGAGAGCGCAGGCCTTTTGGGTTCAAGGGTATGTAAAAGGGGTATGTACAAGCACCCCTCAATGTTGTTTTTGTTGTTTGCTCTTATGGTGCTTTGTAGGCTGCCATTCATTTGGTCGCATGTGACCTGATCAAGAATCGGCAAGCACTGTGCGCGTTTCAGTGCCACTCGCTTTGTCACATTCACCCTTTCACGGCGCTTCCTAGGCATGTCTAGTCTTGGGGAACGCCTTTTGGGGCTGGTTGAACGGGAATCAAAGGCAAAGCTCGCATTGGTTGGCACGGTCCCACATGTTGCTCGGCAGGCACTCGACAAAGGAGTCGCCGGAGAGGCGCAGCTGTCAGACTGTTTGAGATCCAAAATGCGAGTGAATGGGTGCGGGCTTGGCTCAGCCGGCTTTGTGGAGTTTACGGGGAGCTGCCACCACCGCCCCCAATGTTGCAGCAGTGGTTTGTTTCAGATGTTCTGGCAATGAGCCACTGAACTAGCTGCCAGCGACGGAGTCGTAGCATCGCGCATGTGGCCAAACCTGGAAGGTCAGCTGAGCCCAAAGCGGCCGAGGAGGAGAGTGACAGTGATAGCTGCTTGGGCAGCGATGCGTCTCTGGGAAGCCGGTGTTGGGATTTGGAAGGCAGTCCTGAAGGAAAAGACCCGCCTTTGGGGGCGTTTGGGGGGCCACCCTGTGAACAGTATGAGATCCATGTCCGTCAACTTGAGGGATGTGCAAAATTGTGCAAAGTTGCGTGACAGCCTGCTGCTCACGCGAGAATGTGAACAATAGAGAGGGAGGGAGAGAGAGAGAGAGAGAGAGAGAGAGAGAGAGAGAGCGAGAGAGAGAGAGAGAGAGAGAGAGAGAGGGAGAGAGGGGGTGAAAGCGAGAGAGAGACAGAAAGAGAGAGAGTGAGAGAGAGAGAGAGCTAGATACAATGAAAGATTGACAATTAGAGGGAGAATTAGCTGCAGTGAAAGAGTGCTGGATATCAGTAGCTTTGTTTTTTTATCCGATAGGCAAGTGGCACAACATTGCGAGGGCTTGAAGCTTGGTAAAACTAGGACAAGCCCTTTGCCTCAGTTTCAACCTACCCATCTCACAAGCATGCGTGGCACCTGATTTGGTCAAACATGTGCACAATATTCAAGTCATCCAGCCCGAGAATCTGATCCCAGTCTTGAGCGGTGAATCAACTGGCATTGTTGGTTGACGCAGAATGGGCAGCCAACCAAGAACGGCAATTTCCTGTCAGTCTGCCCTTGATGCAATCCCAACATGGCCACCCATCTGAACAATCTTGAAAGAGATGATTTTCAGCCGGCAGGTGGCTAGGGTTTCAATCCCCGGGGCCAAGACACTGATCAATGACTGAACCTGTATTTCATCTGCCACACCCCACGCTCTGGCCAGTCTTCCGGTTTAGCAGGGAAGCCAAAGGGGAAATTCCAACGGGTTACTTAGCCGGTTGCTTTCCCCTTGAAGCATCATCCCACCGGAAGGAAAGCATTGGCACGCTCGTTGGTTTCCTCAGCCTTTCGACTTGGAAAAAGTTTGTTCCCCACCACCCAAAAGTTCCACTCTTTCCAGGAGCCAGTTCGACAAACCAAGGTTAAAACAGAAGAATCCAAGTGAGGAGAGACACCCACAAAACGTGCTGTTTCCCTGTAGTCTGATCTTTCACACCACCAGAAGTACCAACTCCAAAAATGCCCCAGAAGATCCTTGACTTTGAACAACCCCACCTTAGTCCCCACCGGCACAAGAAAATCAATCCGCCTGAATGAGTGGGCCTCAGTTAAACCAAAATGGGACCAAGGCAGCGCTGACCACTAATCACTAGCAGCCTGAGCTGCTGCCGAAATCACGTTTTGGTGGAGATTCCCTTGATCCGAGGCACTCCGATTCTTCGAGGGCCCATCCAAGCTCTTGCAAGGACACATCAGAGCCCCAAGATCGGGAGCTGGCTTGCCTCCAGCACATGGTGGGAGAGGCAGACCCGCGGCTACCTTGTCGCAGGACAAGGAACGTGGCTGAGAGCCCGCCCCTGCGCCTGTTTGGTGGCGAGGATGATGTCAGCAAATTGCTCCCCCTGGGGAAAACTTGCTCCAGTTGTGGCTCGCCTTTGTCGCTCTGCACTTACGGCGTCTTCCGACGTCTTGGTTGACGCCGCTGGCTTGACTCAGGAGCAGCGTGCGGCGATGCGTTGTTGCCGGCAAAGGTGCGCAGCACACGGGAGGCTCCATTGGCGTAACTACGTGGTGTCGTACTGCAAGCATTTGTTCGTGGGGCAGCCAAACAAGTTGCAGTGCTTCATGTCTCCTGCAGCAGCATGCTTCTTTCTTTAGCGAGGCCGGGGTGTTGCCGGCTGAGGCTGCGGCGGACGGGCTGTTGCATTTGCTTCCAAGTTCGAGGCTGAGGCTTCTGATCAGTGACGCAGTTTTCAAGTGGCGCATCTTGGCGCGCAGCCGAAAAATCTTAGAGCAGATCTGGCACTGACATGTTCATTGTGTTGGGCCACGTTCTGTGGAGACTTTATGCCGCCACTGCCCAAGGACAAGCTGGTGGACGACGCAGGGGCCCGCAGGAGAGTCAGGCGTGACACTTGTTTTTTCCTGTCGGCTTCTCTAGCAAGCTTATTGCTGCACGATGGACGTAGGATTTGGAGATCCTGAATTACAAGACCGTTGATGGCTTTCTGCTGCACGTTCGTGAAGCTGAGAATGACCAGGACGCCTGGGCGTCCGAGGATGTCATCAACCAAGCGCTCCTCACCACCAAGCTCTTGAGCGCTACCCGTGCGGAGCGCCAGGAAGCTCGCGCAAGTGCAGCCTGGCTCACGGCAAGGCAAAGGCGGCAGCCTCCAGTTCTGGCTTGGCTTTGCAAGTCTCGCAGGCTTCAAACACCGAGGGCTTCTTGGCCGTGGCCCGTTCAACTGAGAAGGCGGGGCCTGTTCCGCAGCGGACTTTGGCCAAGTCGGTCTTTGAGCCAACGCAACTTGTGCTTGGCCGCGGCCAACGCTGCTTTGCCGGAGTTGAACGTGCGTGTCCACGACGACGCGTGCCACATGTCCACAAACACGCAGAGAGTCGCAGCAAGGACACGCCCAAATCGGGCGTTTGCGAAACAAACAGATGTGAGGCAAAGTGTTGAGCGTGACGAGTCGGGTGTTGCACTCATATGTACTAACTGTCTGTGAGGCTTTGTCCGTCAACAGCTTTACACGACTGTCTGTCTGCCACATCTGTTTGTCGCAGGCTTTGTTGCAGCTGTTTGTCACAGGCTCTGTCGGTTGTGGTGGTCGAAAATCTGTTAACCTCAGACCTGTTGCGTGGGGTAAAACAGAGTGTATACCCACACCCACCCATCCCCCCCACCCTCCATCAGGCGAGGGGCAGCTGATGCTGGAGGACTTGGAGCCGAAGCCGAAGAACTGCAGGAGGCGGGCTTTCTTATGGGTTTTGACAAGTTCACTGTCCCAACTGCTTACTCGGAAAGTGAAGGCCGAAAATGGTCTGTCGGTTACGCAAGTTTGCACGTTTGGTTGGAATCCCAAAAGGTTGTCATTTTTTCCTCGCACCTTTGTTTGTGAGTTTATCCTCGCCTGTCTCTCAAGCTTAAGCACCCTCAATAGCTCCAGTGCTTCCAGCGCTTCTGCGCTATGCTCAGAGTATTGGTGGAACCCAAGCATCGACGGCCAATAGCCAAAGCGCGGGGAGTTGCGCATTTGTGTTTGCAGACGCCCGAGGATTGGAAAAAAGGTTTTCCGCGCAGACGTTCTACCGCGAGTAAGCCACGAAGGGCCCATATGTTCGGAACCGGCGTTTTGGTCCACGAACGGTTTGAGACTCGCCTCTGTGTTGGGTTCGGGTTGTTTTGTTTCTCGTTTGGCGAAGCGTTTTTGTGCATTGTGGTGGGGTGCTGTTTGGTCGATCCGTTGGTTGGTAAATTCTCATCAGTCGGTTGCTAAGAAAATGAACCAGGGCCAAACCCATCATAAACCCGACCTAAAGAACAAACCAACACCAACCTAGCCCGCCGCACAACCATTCTGAAAAAACCGTAAGCCAACCCTATCCAAACCCTCGACCAACCCAAAACAAACAGCACACCAACCCGAAACCCAGCAACAAACCTAGGAAACAACAATTCGTTTTGTCTTCCTGGGACTCCAGCATAGTCTACCTGGTCTATGGAGCGAAATGGCATCCATTTGTTCAAAAACGAAGCCCAAAACGAAAAATGGACGATTAAACATTCTGCAGACCGGCTACAGTTGGATGAAAATTGATTCAAATTACTCCCCCCTGCTGTCCATTTTGGCTTCGTCAGCCCCTTGACTTACCGGGAATCTTGCCATGTACTTTCACAACGGCTCGCGCGACTTCCCCCCATCTCCAGGACGCCCGTCCAAGCTCAGCGCGGCTTGCGGCGAATCTCACTGCAGACGTACTCCGTGGATTGTAGCCTCTTCAACACCATGCCCCATGGCAAGCTGCGCGTGAAAGCGGAAGGGTGGCCCCTATTGATGTGTTTCTCAACCTCATAAGAGGCGCCCCCCCATTTGGCAATGCCCCATTTTGGGTGACTCTCAGATGTTGGTCCTTTCTCAAAAACATGTAAATACTGATTCCCCTCACAAAGGGTTGCGGTTGTCACCAGTTTCTCGTATGATGGCGGTTCTCTAGTTGGTTCCTTATTTTAGATTGTGTTTTTTCCTGCACTTCTCGGATGGTTGACCGCGACTCGACCCGGTCTTCCGCAGACATGGGCAACTCAGAGGGCCCGGTTGATACGGCCTTTTTGAGCCCCGATGATGAGTTGTCTCGCCGGAAAAAGACAAGCACAGATCCAGATGAATTAATTCTCCATTTCCAAAAACTCCTCTTGAGATGGTTGTTTTTGGCTTCTCCGGCTTCTCCTGTTAGGTTTCAAGAGACTTGCACGGGAGCTCCATATTGCACAAGGAGCTAACGAAGGAGCTGAGGTTGTTGCCGAAAAAGCATGTTTGGATACCGACTGCATCAGAACACCAGAGTGTCTGGATGGGTTTGCTTCCTGTTGCCAAGCGTTCCGATCATCCTTGCTTCACAGATGTTGAAGCAGAACGCGTGCCACTTTGCCATTGACAAGGTGCGCTTGAAGAGAGCAAGGAGTAGCTCGGAAAAACAAGCCGCGACAAGAACAGGCGTCTCTCTTTCGTCCGTGTGATACGCTCCTGGCTTGCTGACTTCCCCAATTCCAAGATTCCGCTCCGCGTGCGGCGCGGGAGGGGGGGGCCAACTCCCTCGGACATCCCAACACCCTTGAAGTAATTAGACTGACGATTCGTGGAGCCCATGTTGCGCGGTTCGATTGATCCCAAGGTTCGTGACGAAAGCGGCTTCCTTGGAGACATCCTTGGACTATCACATCCTGCTCACGCAGGTGCGAATGTTTTGTAATCCGGAGAGGTGCTATCGACGCTGGTGATCAAAGTGCATTTCGGGGCGAGATAATGGTGAAGTCCAGACGTAAGGGAGGGGGGGTGAAATAATTAAGATGGGATAGGTGATAGATATCTGCACCAACCGTCAGGAAAGAGATTATGACACCCCTACCCTCCAGGAACTTTTCTAAGAACCTTGCTTAGAAGGTTCGAAGAACTATTCCTGTGCTGGGGAGCCTATATGGTTTTCTCTATGAAATCTTTATTGCTGGCCTAGTGTCCTTGTGTGATTTGGTGGCGCTGGTTGTGGTTGCCCTTGCAGGGTTCTTGTTTGGATTAACCAGGGCAAGCAGCGCATCCGCAAAGGTTCTTAGTCAGGCCGTTCCAGGGCCCCTTTTGGTTCCGCTCTCATCTTTAGGGTTGCTATTTCCAGATTCAAGAAAGTAGATGGTACAACTTCCATGCTTAAATCATCCCCCTTGCCACGAAAGGAATTGCCATCTAACTATTACCCTTTACCTAAAGATGTGTGTACCGCTCCACGCCACTCCCAGGAACAAAAGGGGTGTAGTTACCAACTTCGTATTGTGGGCCCACACCCCTAGACTACACGGAGGTTCGCGCGCGGAGCCGCCGCCACGGCAGCAACTCCGCCGGAGAGACATCGGAGCTGGTGCAGAAGGCCAGACGAAACGGGGGGATCGCTCCGGAGGTGAGATGCCAAACGCTTTGGGGACAGATCCCCAGAATCGGATCTGCAAATGCCAAGACAAACCGTGGGGACATTAATTTCAGAATTCCCAGATGTGGGTCCGTTGCCGAAAAGCCAGGGCGCAGCAACCGAAATGGGATTCATGCCCACAGGTG